AACTCGACGAGTCGGAGGACAGTCTCGACGAGTTGGAGATGGAGGATGAAACCCTAATTTCCGGGGTTTTGCACCCTATTTAAAGGGTCATTAGCCTCCCTTAGCCTCCCTTACATCCCCATTTGAGTCCAGAAACCCTAAATAGCGTTTTCTCTCCATACTTGTGTGTTTTAAGCTTGGAAGGTGAATCTTGGTGAGAGGAGCTTGGAGATCAAGAAGCTTTGAGCAAGGAACAGTTGAGGGTATAAAATCTACTCCATTTTGGCATCACTTGAAGGTAACAAGTCGTTACCTTGAGCTTCCTTCTATCTAGATCTCTTTATGTTAAAGATTAGGGCCATTTTAGCTTGTTTGGTGTTTCATTTCGGGTATTGAGCATGATCTGAAGTTGCAACTTCAGATCTAGACTCATCTTGGTTCTTATGGTCATAAAGTTCCATCCTTTAGCAAGATAATGCCTTATCCTCACTTAGAACCTCTTCTCTAGCTTGATTTTGGCCATTAACACCTTGCATGTACGTAAAGTTTGCAACGTTACATAGGAAGTATGCTCTAGGAACTTAGATCTGCAATATGGAGCTTTGGGGTGGCTTATAAGCATCTGAATGGGAAAGGACTGAAGAGACTCGACGAGTTGCATGGCCAACTCGGCGAGTCCGATGAAGATTAGCCTCGAAGGTTTCTGCATGAACTCGGTGAGTCAGTAGGATGACTCGACGAGCCAGTTAGGGTTTCCCCGAATTCTGGATACGCATAGACTCGACGAGTTGGTCGGAAACTCGGCGAGCCAGTGAGGGTTTTATGACCTTCTGAACCCTTAAGGAACTCGACGAGTTGCTAGCTGCACTCGACGAGTTGGGTCAACATGGACTGTTAACTTTGACCGTTGACTTTGACTTGGACCAAGGGTTTAGTTTGACCTCTAGGGGTATTTTGGTAATTTGGGAATTTATGGAAGCGAGTCATCGGTGGATGTAGGTATTACATTTGGAGCTGCACTTGGTTGAGTTGACTTTATCGATTCGAGCTACTTGAGATGTGAGTTCTCCTCACTATATCAACAGGGTCTACGGCACCAAGGCTGGCCCTTTATGATTTTCATCCTGGTTTTAGGATGGTTGCTATGTGATTGATCTGTTAGATTTCATCCTGGTTTTAGGATGGTTACTATGCGAGTAGTCTGTTAGATTGATATCCTGGTTATAGGATGGTTGCTATGTTAGAGATCGATTAGATCGGCATCCTGGTTTTAGGATGGTTGCTATGTTGATGATCTGTTAGATTTCATCCTGGTTTTAGGATGGTTGCTATGTTAGAGATCGGTTAGATTTGGATGACTATCTGTTATTGCATGCCAGCGTATGATATTATATGCACATCTTTGTTGGGATTGGGATTGGGTTGAGGCAGGTCCTGTTTTGTGCTGTAGGCCAAGACACCCAAGGCGGACCGGATAGACTGCAGACCCGATTAGGGCATACTAGTCAGGCCGAAGGCCCGACGAGCGGTCCGGATAGGCTGAAGGCCCCGAGGAGGGCGGTCCAGACGTACCGATGGCTCAGAGAGCGGTCCAGATAGACTGATGGCCTGCGAGGCGGTCCAGTCAGACTGATGGCTCATTATGCATGTTGTGTTTGTTATATGATATGGTTATATCTATATGACGTTGGTATTTTGGGGGAACTCACTAAGCTTCGAGCTTATAGTTGTTGATTTTGTTGCAGGTACTTCTGACGATCGCGGGAACGCAAAGGCGTGATCGTACACCTCGTATGATTTTTATGATTTGGTTCTGGGAAACTCTGACACTGAACATTTTGAAAACAAGTTTTGTAATAATTAACTGGTTTTGGAAATGTTTTATTAGTTTAAATTTGACATGATTTTTATGGTTGTTACAATACGTGCTTATAATAAATAAAATAAATATAAATTAAAATAAGCGTCTTAAATAGAATAACAACTAGGACGAATAACCTTGATGAAAGTCGAATTACTCATAATGAGGATTTCGGGGATATAAGGAATGCTTAAATCGGGCTTAGAACGAAGAAGTTATGACCCGTTGAAGTTTCACGTTCAACCCGGTACAACATCGAGTGTCATAAATAGTGAGTCGGAGATTGATCATTTATTAGCCTAAGTGATCTAAACGAAATTTTTAGTAATCGTAAAATCGAGAGCGTGCATATAGAGAACGTCTAAATCTTACTTCATGAGAGGAAGTTATGATTTTTCGAAGTTTCAGCGCAACTGTGTTAACATAGAAATCAAATTTTAGATCGGGAAATTTTTAGCCGAAACAATATAAACGAGAGTCGAAGATCTCGTTAATAGGAGTTCAACGATATAAAGATAGTAAAAAATGGAGTCCATATGTAAAAGTTATGAATTTTACATGGTCGTTAACATTGTAATCTTCGTAGACTGTTAAAATATAGATCAGTCAAGAATTAGCCGATGGGGTCTAAATGAAAGTTGTAGATCTTGTCGATAGCTACACGTGGATATAAAGAACGTAAAAATGGAGCTCGTATGTGAAAGTTATGAGTTTTTGAAGATCTGCAGTTTTACCCGTGTCCGCTGCCACGTGTCAATACCAGAGGCGAAGCCTTGTTTCCTACGCAAGGTCACGATGTGACAGGCCATGTCTCATGACGTGAGAGCCTCCTGAACAGGCTATAAATAGTTGCTAGACTTGCTTCATTCACTAGATCTTTCACTCCAACTCCTTTGAAGAACTCCCACTCTTCTAGCCCCAATCTTCTAGGGATTTCGACTACTTTAGTGACGCTCTGAGGTATCTAGCAGCCTAACGAAAAGGAGCTTTCGGGTCGATATTCTGCTAGTTCAATTCCTGACTTTTTGCTAGAAACTCTGTAAGTTGAGCTACACTTATTACACTTTAAGTATAACTTATGTTTAGGTTCATTATCGTTATTATGAACCTATAAACAAGATTTATCAGCGATTCCAAGTCGTCATACTCATTATCGTTATTATGAACATATAAACAAGATTTATCAGCGTTCCAAGTCGTAATACTGATTGATCTACTTACGGGGACGATGACAAAGCTAGATTTAGTGATGTGTTTAAGATAAGATTTCCAAATAGTATACTCTGTATAACAAACGTCAAACAGACCCTACTTCCGATATGATCTTACCTGGTTGTCCCTTATCAACTATAGATCAGTAGACTTTGAGTTAATGATGAATCTAAACTAATAATTAATCACAAGAAATAATAAACTAAGACTTAGTGATAATTAAACCTAGGTCACATCAAAGGAAAGGCTAAGTGATGAAGCGAAGCGCTGCTTAATTTTCCAGTCATCACTTTAACAAGTGAGTGCATAGTTACTTTCATCTTACACGTAGATATAAAGTATGTAGATGATTAAATGCTATATGTGCTTATTATATGTATTTCTTGATGTCTGTGTTAGATGAACTGTATTAATTCTTATTTGATTTAAATGGTATATGTATTTTTTATATATAAAATATATTGGGTAGTGATGGGTGATGAAAAGATGAGATGACGATGAGAGGACTTGACTATTGACAAACCAGTCATCTAGCAGAGTATAGATGACGATCACATACTATTCTAGACAGTCAGTGGAACGCTGACAGGCTCGCAACCAGTAGGTGTTAGTGAATTATATGTTTATTTGATGTACTATATCCCCCCATGGTTGCCTTATTGACATATATTGCTAAAGGAATCCTCGAAGCAGTATTGTCTACTCGTTGCTTACATTAATCCTTAGGATAGGTCCCGTGAGATCAACATTTTAGGATCAGGAAGTGAGAATAATGGGAATGGGTAATCGGGTGAATTATTTGATGTAATATATATAATTAATGAACTTAATTATTATGGTTTGAAAGCCCTATGTGCTCACCAGTCTCCCAAGCCTAACTCACTCAGTTTCTTTATATCACAGGTAGTGGTACGAAGGCACAAGGATGATGAGTGATTTGAGGAGTTATTAGACCATAGTATAATAAATTTTTGTAAGGCTAGTTAAAACATGTTTATGCTTATGTATCTGTATCGAATGATGACATCCCACGGTTTTTAACATATTAATGAAAAATGTTTCTTTGGAAATATTTCAATATTATGTTTTGGGAACAAATTCCACAATTTTAATGAATACTCTGAATTAAATAAGCATAAATAATAAGTTTTAAATTGACCGTGAAAATGAGGATGTCATAGTCTTCATCACAGATCTAAGATCCCCAGCGTGAGTGGTTTCGAATCGTCTCAGATATACGATCTCCGACATACACCTTCATCGTTCCAAAGTCGCCGCCTAAGGTTTCAAACCTTCACCTTCATTGTCTTGGATCTAAGATCGCCACCGCCTAGGGTTTCAAACCACAACTTAGGGTTTTAAACCACCGCCTTCGGTTTCAGATCGAGCTCCACCGTCTGTTTGGGGATTTTCATGATTGATTTTCACTTTTGGGGTTTCATCTAAAAAGGATTAGGGTTTAGTCTTGATTATAGGTTTCAGATTTTGGTTTGGTTAGGTTATAGTATCATTTTTCTTATCTTATTTGGGCTGATGATTGGTGGTAGTTGCAGGAGGTGCTGGCAGTGATATGTAGTGGTGCCACAGAGAGAGAGAGAGAGAGAGAGAGAGAGAGAGAGAGAGTTTCTGGTGGTAATCGACAATGGGCAGTGGTAGTCAACAACAATGGACGGTGGTTTCCGATGATGAGATCTACAGGGTCGTTAGGAAATTCTTGAAAGAGAATAGATAGATTATTAGAATACTTGTTTAGGGCAATATATTATATTTTTATCAATAAAAGAATAAAATAAAAATAAAAACCAAGAATAAACCTGAAAATTAAATAATAATCCGAAATAATTTTTAAAAATAAAAATTGATATAACCACGATTCGTGTAATTTAGAGGGTATGTTATGATCAATTATTATTAGAGAAAAAAAACCAAATAAAATAGGGTCTTCGTCTTAAGAAGAAGAAGTTGCTCAATGCTCATCATCATCATGTCCGAAAGAAGTAAAATACCAATACCCTGTTCATCTACAACGAAACTGACCCCAACAATGGCGTCTCTCTCCCCCTTTCCCAATTAATTCCATTGAATTTACAAATTTCAAATTCCCAATCAGATTGATCCGTAGATTCAAAGCATTCTTCTTGATTTTAACAGCTCACTTTCAAGTTAGTTCAACCCACCGCCATCATCTCTTCTACTCCTCAACCACTCATCTCTCTCTTTTTCTCTCCTTCATCAACCATCAAATTCAAGTGTACATATCATTAACCATCAAATTCAAGTGTACATACTTCAAAAATCGAAACCCATCTCAGATATAAACTTCTGTGGAGTAAAAATTGATTTGGGCAAAATATGAAGCTGCTAGCGTTGCAGCAGAGCTATGCAAATCGGGGGCGGAGCAACAGTTTCAGAGGCTCATCGCCGTTAGATTCGTCTGTAGATGGAGGCGGAACCGTTAAATCGCCGGCGGGTATCTTTTGGTTGATCCTTCATTGTTTATGCTGTCTGATTAGCCTCGTTCTTGGATTTAGATTCTCTCGTCTCGTCTTCTTTCTCCTCTTCTCAACTTCTTCCATTAACAATCTCTACACCTCAACACCAACGTCATTCGGAACCGCCACCGATATAGCCGAAACTCTGTCGTTTACCACTTCCCTCCGGTCCCTCTCACCGCCGGTGGCTAATACTACCTCTGCTGTTGCAACTAGTAGCAGAGTGGTGGTCGGCCGGCATGGGATCCGAATCCGACCATGGCCACACCCTGACCCGGTGGAAGTCATGAAAGCTCATAAATTAATTGAAGCAGTTCAGAGAGAACAGAAGGTTCAATACGGGATCAAAAACCCTAAAACTCTAATTGCCATCACTCCGACCTATGTCCGAACTTTTCAAGCTCTACATTTAACCGGATTAATGCACACATTGATGAACTTGCCCTACGATGTGGTCTGGATCGTGGTGGAAGCCGGTGGCGCCACCAACGAAACCTCGTCGTTGTTAGCCAAATCAAAACTTCAAGTCAAACACATCGGATTCCCGAAGAAAATGCCCATTTTTTGGGAGGCTCGACACAAGATGGAATCCCAGATGCGATTGCGAGCATTAAGGTAATTAAACTCAACAAACCCAATCAATCCGCTTCAATTTCTAATGAATTTCATTATAAGTAGACTCGTTTTCCATGATTTAGAGTCGTGAGAGAAGAAAAGCTAGATGGAATTGTAATGTTTGCTGATGATAGTAACATGCATAGCTTGGAACTCTTTGATGAGATCCAAAAAGTCGAATGGATTGGAGCTCTTTCAATTGGGATTCTAGCTCATTCAGGGCATTCCGATGAAGACCCATTTGAGATTCAGAACCCTCTAAACGAAAAAGATGAACAGAAATCAGTCAAATCACCATTGATGCCAGTTCAAGGTCCTGCTTGTAATTCATCTGATCGGTTAATTGGGTGGCATACATTTGATTCTGGTGTATACAAAGGAAAAAGTGCTAATTACATTGGTGATATGGCAATTGTGTTGCCTAGGAAGATGGAGTGGTGTGGATTTGTGATGAACTCAAGATTGGTATGGAAAGAAGGTGAATTTAGGCCAGATTGGATTAAGGATTTGGATATGGTTGATGGAGATGATGATGATGATATTGAGAGTCCTCTTTCTTTGGTTAATGATTCTTCAATGGTGGAACCGCTTGGTGGTTGTGGGAAGAAGGTGATGATGTGGTGGCTGAGGGCTGAGGCGCGTGCAGATAGCAAATTCCCTACTGGGTTAGTCTTCTACTCTTCTACTTTTAATTTAAATGTTCTAAAAGAAATGATATGTTGTGAATTTGATTATTGCAACTTGAAATTCCAAATAGTTAAGGTTTAGTGTGTGAGAAATTTGATTATGATTTTGATGTTGTAAAGTTTTAGGGCCAAAATCAATAGATTTTGAGAAATAAGGGGTTGGAAGAGCGAAACTAGTTTTTTTAGGGTAAATAGAAGTGTTTATCACTAAAACAACCAAGAAAGGAGCTTTTCTCTATGTTTGGCATAACAATTGAAAAGCTAACTATTAGCTGAAAAGTTAGTTGTTAGCCGAAAAGGCGAAAAGCTAGTTGTGAGCTTATAAGCTAGCTGATAAAAAATAACGTTTGGTAAAAATTAGCTGATAAGCTAGCTGAAATATATAAAATGACATTTAGGATAATATGTTTTCTATAACTAATTAAGGGTATATTTTTGAATATTTAAAAAAAGCTTCTGAAAAGCTAGTCTAAGTAGCTTTTTAAAAAGCTAGGTTATAAGCTATTTTTTGGCTTTCCAAACATAACCTAAAGTAGCTTATAAGCTAGCTTAGTAGTTAGTTGTGTCGTGCCAAACACAACCTAAAGTAGCTTATAAGCTAGCTTTTTGAAAAGCTATTTGAGATAGCTTATTGATAAGCTCATGTGACTTTTTTACAAGATTTCCAAATATACCCTTAGAGAATAGAAAAGATAAAGCGGCATTTAGTTAGAGTACCAAATTCTACTCGTAATCAAGCAATTGTTCTTGAGGGTAGGGTAATTTATTTTGTTTCTGACTCAAAATACATTATATGAGAATTAAGTTATTATAATAAATTCTAATTATTTTAAAACTTTTACAGATAAAATAACTAAAAAGACATTTTTGTGAGAATAGGAGGTATGTGTCATGAAGTTGATGTAATAAAAAGGCAAATACATAATTTTGTTTCAGATTTTGATAATCATATTTTTGTTGTAATCCCTATGAAATCAATTACTTGATCATTAAAACAATCAAATGATCAAAGATATATTCTTTTATCAAATATTAAAATTTGAATGTTAAAACTTCATGTTGCAATCCAAATCAGATTCTTAATATTTAATTAAATCGATTACAATTTTTCGCCTTTTTGTAACACTTGTAATTTTGCAAGTTGTTAACAAACCATTATAATACTACTTAACGTTAATTTTTAATATGATTAAATATGCAATTTATTTTAAAACCGTTCCATACAATATAACATTAGTTTTTAATTATATATAAATACATAAATGTCCTTTTCTGTCATTTTAGATTTGTCTTCTAGCTTATCAATTACTTTTTATCACACTCTTATCACTTTACCTTTGTAGGGGAATGGTGGTTGTGATTTATGAATTAAATTCAACTCTTTGCCTTGACCTTTGTTGACCTGTGTTGACTGGGTTTGACCTCTTTGATTTTGACCCTCCTTGACTTTGACTCCCCTCAATTCTTGATTTTTGACCTTGTAAACTTGATTCCATACATACGATAGCAACAAACATTCACTTTTATAAAATTTCACAATAATATTAAATTCAAACACCGAGTATGATTCATTTTATATATGATGCAGATGGAACATTGATCCTCCATTAGAGATGACAGTGCCAGCTAAGCGAACTCCATGGCCTGATGAGATTTCATTGACCACCGAAAAGGTGATGACCACCACCACCATAGAGAACAACGTAAGTGAAAAGCGCCCAACAAAAACTCGGACGCCAAGATCAAAACGCACTTCACGTGGCAAAAGAAAACACGAATCAAGAAATAATGCGGATACACGCAAGAATTCTGGTGAAGGAATTGATAATTAGGTCAACATTTATATATATATATATATATATATATATATATATATATATATATATATATATATATATATATATATATATTGTGTCAATATTGAAAAATTGAAATCCAAGAGTGAAAACAATGAGGTGAAGAAATCTTTAATACAAAGTAAATAGATGGTGGATTGTATGGATTATTAGAAATTTTCTTAGTTTTTATATTTGTAATGATTTCGTTAATGGGTCGTGAATCAGCCAGTTTTAAGGCATCATTATAAACTAATCATTGAGAAAAATATAAATCAGTTGCGTTTCATGGCTAGAAGGATTTTTGTAGATACCCGTTACAAGAAAACATCCCAAACGCCTTCCAATAGCTTTCTTGAAGAAGTGAAGATAATGGTTGCATTTCATGGCTAGATAAACAATCATCCAAATATGTAATTTAAACATGTAGGAAGCTTTGCAACCATGGATGAAAAGTAGCAACTGAATTATGCAAATGTAACCAGCCTTTCGTATGGGTGGTTTGACCCGATTCGGTTCATGGGTTTGATTGGATTGAGATTTTGCCAAGCTAAGAGGTTTGATTGTAATATAGGCACCCCAAAAGGATGTATTGGCACATACTGCAATTGATTTACCATATGGTTTAATGGAATTAAATGAGATTTCTCTTGGCGTGGGATTCTTTGTCATCCAGGGTTATACATAACACTAAACAACATTATCTTGTGGTTGATTAGATTGTTTGTAAGTCGATGAATGGTGTTGGGTCCATGAGAGAGAGAGAGAGAGAGAGATCCCAAAACATGGCGCCAATTTGGTTTAAAACACATCAAAAAGCTGGATTCAGACAAAACCCTAACTTTTCATCCAAACCCAGAAAAACTCGAAATTGAAAGCTATTTGTCAGATTTTTGGAGAAGTCTGACTTTAGAAACATGTTAATCGATTAATATACTAACAATATAACCATTTAATTTCATTTTCCCAACCAAGAATTAGAAAAATCCCAAAATCCCCAAAAACCTAAAAACAGGTAATTAAGATCCATTATCAATAAAGAGCAAATAAACTTTAGACACGTGTACTTGGGAAGAAGAAGAATCGGAAGGAAGAAAACGACAAAACCCAGAAAGCACAGCGTGCAAGTCTCGTGTGGGGCACGTAAATCGTGAAAAGTGGAAGGAAAAACGGAAGTACATGTCAACAAGGGGGACCACCGTGCATTTTATATGCCTGCCCTAGTGTGCACGGCGCACTCGCACGTGCGGCGTGCATTCCCAGAAATTCAAAAATTACATTTTAAACCCTACACTATTTTACATAGCCCCTTTCAACCTAAAAACCCTAGATGATTTACCTAGAATACCCACTATTTAAATTAAATGAGCTTTAGATGCATCAAAAAGTTATAATCTGGAATAAAATTTAAACACAACAATAAACAATCAACGATATAATGAAAACGACTTGGGTCAACAAACCTACCTAGAAAATGATAAGAAGACGGGTTGCTAAGAAATTAGATTAGCGTCGGTAAACCACAAACCGTCAAGAAAATAAGAATAAATCAGCCATTAGAATACTTGGCTAAAGAAAGAAACCTACGAAAGAATTACAAGAAGTAACAACATACATACCATCCTTGGTCAATAACACGAAGGCCGAATCTAGTAAAACCTCACCACCAACAAGGCAACAAGAAGAAAACAAGTCATGAGCATCATAAGAAATTTCGGAGTCAACAACAAAGGAAGATACCTCTAGCATAAGGATAACTAACAAAGAAGCATCTACCAGGAGTTCATGAGCAGCAAGCCATGATTTTGCTACAGAGATGAGGAATCAGTTAACCTAGGCTACTGGGTAAAAGGAATAGACACAATCCTACAAACCCACAATTGTGCTAAGAATAGTTGGGTTAATGTCGCCACCTATAGTGTATCACTCAACTAGTAGAACGCTAATGTCAAAACCTTAGGAATAGATGCGTCATACTCCATCCATTAGAGAGTATGAATAGAATGATGATAGTAAAACTCTACCCCAAAGGAACAATTCCAGAAATAGGACAAGAACCTCGTTACCTTACGAGAAGAAGAACAAATTTCTTAATGTACGTCAAATCTAGTATAAGTATAAACACCATCTACCCAGGAATGGTAAAATTCAGGAAATCAAGAATTTCAGGAATACACAAAAAATAAAACTCCAAAGACTCAACTCAACACTTACTAGGGAAGAAAGGCCATTGCCTATTATAACAGATCGTGCCAATTAGGGCAAGCCACATTGTGATCCTTAAGAGAAAGTCCCACTTCACAAATCCGCACCCATACCATCATACGAAAGTGCTAGGAGACTTAGCTATAAAGGCTATGGCATGTAGGGCCACACAACTAGAAGACATAGAAATCCGACTCACACGAGGCAAACCAAGAGCAACTACTTCGAGTGTAAAAATCCAAACCACCTCAAGAGAAATGCGCATAGACTTAGTAAAGAAGTGTTTTGATTAATCATTTCAAAACAACGCAAACTATGAAATTCGCGACAAACCGCTAGAATAACTAAATCTACGAAATAACCATTTCTTTCCAAAACCTTTCCATTGTCTTGTAAAAAAAAGATCCCCAACCAACTTTATAAAAGCGAAGGTAAATGAAATAAGTTAAGGTAACCTATCAAAAAGCCCAACGTATCTAATATAAAATGTTTGACACTTGACAAAAGACAAGGAACTAGTGATGATTCAAAGATTTGGATTTTTACACCCGCCCGCGACTCGAATTAAACACCCCCAAAGTAAAAGCAATCGGATCGCGGAATAAAATGGTAGAGGTCCAATGAGACTGTAACACCCATAAAATTTGAGCCAAATTAAAACATTTTACATCATTCAAAAACCATTACGTTCATACAACTCGTTTTCAAAATAGTTTAAACATCAGAGTATCCCTCAGAATCATATCATATAAATCATAAAACATGAGGAGCGGTACGATCATGCCTTCTCCTTGCCACGATCTCCTGAAGTACCTGAAACAATACACTGAAACTGTAAGCCCGAAAGCTTAGTGAGTTACCCCCAAAATACCAATCACACATATCATACTCATAACATATCATAAATAGAACAGCCATGCACATCGGGTCTACTGTGTGACTGGTCCGCCCGCACCGGGCCTTCAGTCCACCTGGTCCACCCTCCGAGTCTAGCCATGTACGTCGAGTCTACAGTGTGATTGGTCCGCCCACACCGGGCCTACAATCCACCTGGTCCACTCTCTGAGTCTACAGTATGACTGGTCCGCCCGCACCAGGCCTTCAGTCGGCCTGGTCCACTCCCCGAGCCTCGGCACGTCTGGTCCGCCCTCTTGGGGCCTTCAGCCTATCCGGACCGCTCGCTGGGCCTTCGGAATATCCGGTCTGCCCTGGGTATGTTGGCCTACAGCACAAAGCAGGACCCGCTTCAACCCAACCCCCGTCAAACAAACATGTGCACATATAACAATTAATCACATAACAATCCTCAACCAGAAAAACATTCTAACAGATCACATAGCATATCAACATCCTAACCAGGATTCCGACCTAACCGGTCACTAGCATAGCATTACCCTATATCCCGGGTACCGACCTTAACCAGGTCACTAACATAACACCATCCTAAATACCAGGATGCAGATCTAGCAAAACAATAACATAACAACAATACCCGGATTTCCATCTGATAAAGGGCCGGCCTTGGTGCCGTAGACCCTGTCGATATAGTGAGGATAACTCACCTTGCAACTGCCGAAATCCTGCAAATCTCTGACCGCTGACTCACCGGGACTCCCAACTATCACATGATAATCACCAAGTTAGAATCCAACATGACTTTCTAGGCCAAGGGCCCACAACACTCGTTAAGTCCATTATCCTCTTATTGGGCCAAGACCCAAAACCAAATCCTCATGCAAAGCCCAATATTGGCCCAATTTACTAAATTGGGCCCACCTCACCAAATGGGCCTAGATCCAAGGTCCATAATAATTATTGGGTCCAATTTACTCCATCCATACTATTCAGTCACGGCCCAAGCCCAGCTAGCCCATAAACAGCCCAATTACTCAAGGCCCAAAATTGAAAACCCAACAGAGGGCGTACTCTGGGCGTACTCCTCTGGTACGCGGGGCGTACGCACGTCTGCACCAAAAATACTTCCATGTGCTTAATGGCTTAAGCACTTAAGCCCAAACTTCAGATCCATCGACCAAACATGCCTAGGATTCATAAAGTCTCAAACTTTATTACTTGGGACGTCCATAAAGGTCTTAACTCAAGGTCTTAATCCATTAAGACCCACCTACATCACACATGAGACAATCAAAGCCTTTGGGACCTCATTTTTCTCACTCAAGACCTCTCCTAAGGTCTGAAAGGACAGCTAATCTCAACCAACTCACATCATGCATCACAATGGGGGTTTTTGGGACAAGAATGGTGTCAAAACTTCACCACACTTAGATCTACACAAAATAGATGTCAAGTAAGAAACTTTATACCTTTAGGAGCTCTTGAACCACCAGAAAACTTCAGATCTACACGCTGGCCTTCTTCCTCTACTCACTAGATGCAACACCTTCTTCTCAAAACACTCCAAATTCACTTCAAAAGTTCACACACTCAAGAAGTTGGCTAGGGTTTGGGGAAAACGGCTCTAAACAGTGGAGGCTAGGGTAAGGGAGGGTTATGAGCTCTTAAAGTTGTTTAAATAGCCTCCACACCCGAAATATTAGGGTTTCTGGATGATAGGCGTACGCTGGGCGTACATCCAGTACGTTGGGCGTACGTCGAGGGACTCCCGCGTTCATTTACTCCATTACGCTGGGCGTACATCCAACTTACGCTGGGCGTACCTAGCCAATTACACACATGCACTCCATGCATGCCTAGGACCCCTTTGCCAAATATTTCCTTTACGGACCATTATTGACACTATCTTCAAAGTGTCATAACTCCTTTATTCTAAGCCCGTTTC